GTTACATGCGCGCGAACTTGATGTATAATTTGCAAAATTTTGTGTTACTCACTCATTTATTGGAGGGCACTGTATATAATGAGGTGAATTGTACAGTGGAGATTATAGAGAATTGAACACAACAGAATCAAAATGTGTCAGATCTACTATCCAATATTCCATTCTAGTAATAATCCCCACAATAATAATAATATACTGTAACTTGCATAGTGCATTAGATAATACTTTTCGGAATGGAATTGTTGTATTGAATATTTAAGTGTTTGCGATACGCTTGCGATAATATAATATCCGTTCTTATAATGATAGTGAGTGAGGCTTTTGTGGCAACTTTGGCTGTGTGGCGGGGTCGTAGCCCACTCCACTGTTCATTTTGTTCCAAAAGATCTAATCCCCGATTAATTGATTTTAGTACTTTTATACTTGGCAGATCATTTCTTACTGCTTCCTCATTAAGTATTTACCATTGTCATTTTTTCAATTCTCTAACTGCAGTAAAGTGAGTACCATGTCCAACTCAATTATTATATTCAGCTGATTTAGCAGTTTCGGCCACATCTGATTTGGCTAGTTCAGCATCAGTATCAAAAGTAGTATCAGTTTTCAAAATTCTTCACTTTTAATACACCCCAAAATATTGCGTATCTTAACAACTCTCGATAAGATCTTTTGCCTGGTCTATCCCGCAGAGTTTTGGATTGAGTGATTAAGCCACTTTACTTTTTTTAGCATCTTCTTTTAATTTCTCCGCTACTTCTTTTTGCTATTGATTTGGCTTTGTTTAGAATTAATTTATCAATTTTTTTACCTAACTTAGCACCTTCTTTTAAAATCTTCAATACAGCATCAGCATTTGTTGTTAATTAATTTCATAAATTTATTATCGAATCAGTAACGTTGTTATTTTTTTTATATTTAGTAGCAAGCCATCTTATCTGATTTGAATTAAAACGTCGCTCGTTTTTCTAACTCATCAATCTTCAATGCTCTTGCACTATTACTAAGGGCTCCATGTACAGAATATACTCCTCCTCACGGCAAACTGAGTGAGATTGCACATTTGGAAGGTAAAAATAAAAAGCTGTCAAAGATTAATGATTCTTTCCAAGTCTGTTGCACTTAGCACATATAAGCAATCTGGTCCTTTTATAAAACGCCATCAAGGTCAAAAAAGATAACAAGAAAGAATAATATTAATAGGCCTATCTCTATATAAAAACATAAACTACAGTGGTGTGCAAAAAAAATGACAATTTTTCACCTCGTTCTGGTTTCACAACATCACATCAATTAACATCATTTTGAATTAGATTTCATTAAAAAAAGTTAATATGATATTCATTCACCATTTTTCTTAATAATCTCATCACAACGCCGTGGCGTCGACTCTACAAGACTAACTAGAAGGCTATTCTCACTCTTCACCCATAAAACGTTCTCATTCGTTAATATTTTTGGGCTTACGCATTTCTACATTCCTTTTAACAATCGCCCAAAGGTTTTTAATAGGATTTAGGTCTGGACTATTAGAAGGCCAGTCCATAACCTCTGGAATGTTGTCTTAAGGAATTCTTGGGCAATGCGACTAGTATGTTTCAGATCATCATCCTTCTGTAATCGCCAATTGCCCTTTAACATGTTTTTTATTTCCGGGACATGCTATTCCACTATTTCCGTGTAATATTTTCCGTTCATTATGCGACGAAAACAACTAAGACTAGTTTTACCTTTTACACAGAAACCACCCCACGCGAATATTTTACGTCGATCTTTTGGCATAGGGCGGGCCTTGCATTTTTATACCAATGCTTTATCGCGTTACGAAACAATTGAAATGCTGTAAATAATGTCTATTCCAATTGTCATTTTTATGTTTTTGTGCCCATTCAATATGTCGTTGCTTATGGGCCGGTGTAAGCATATTGGTGTGGCAAGGGGAAGAGCATTCTGGTAACCAAGGTCATTCAAATGCCTTGATACTGTTGAGCGGGAGACGTCTATTCCAATATCGTCTAATTTTCAGCAATAGATTTAGCAAAAATTGAGGGATTCCTTCTAATATACTAGCCGATTGCACGAGAAGCATTAGTCGTTATTCTCTTAATACGACCGCTACCACCTTTATGCCCCACATCACCAGTTTCTTTGATCTTTTTTAGGGTTTCGATAGATTGTTTTGGATGGTATCTTTGTTAATGATTGAATTTCAGTAGCCGTTTGTATCCCTTGCCGCCAGAAATGTAATATAGCTTCACATTGACTTCGCTTCTTAGATGGAGCTATTTTAATGCTTTGTGAAATAAAAATTTTATGAAAACTTAAGTTTGAAAATTGTAGGGTAATCGAAGAGCTTTCATTTGCATATTTACACCAATTAATCGTGTGATGAAAAAATTGTCGTTTTTTTGCACATCACATATTCAAAAATAAAAAATCGGCTTTCAATATTTATTATTACTGTATTAATATTGATAGAAAGAAGTATTAGCATTTTGTGCTTATTAATACAGTATTGTTGCTTCTCTGAGCCTTATATCTTCTAAACGTAATAATTGAATTTGTTATTATATAATCAAATATTCTTTCTATATCGAATTATTTATTCCTTTGGGACGTCCAACAATGCTCTCTCTCTTAACCATATCTAAGGCCCAAATAAAATCCACCAACGAAACAAGACTTAAATTGAAACTTGACCGTCAACAGATCAATTAAAATTCGTAACTTGGATTTTGTATCCTTGACGGTAACGCGTCCATCTTTATCGACGTCCAATTCACGAGTAAAAGCGTCAGACATGTGATTCCAATGAATAGTAACAAAGCCTTGATACGCAAGAAACTGGAGAAAATTAAAAGAAATTGTTTGCAACAAAGCGAATTACTTAATTTGCATTATAGAATCGCTGCACCGGTTTATCTCAGCTTGAGCAGTGTTACCATTTTCCCTACACCATGTTTTTGATTAAACTTCCTTTACATTGTTTCTCACCTGTAAGAAAACAAATCCAATTCCCACAGCCACAGCAACCATTTTCCCAACCTTCTTGATGAAAAATCCCGTACAAAACCCCAAAACGGAACCAAAAGTTATATCAGTCTTATTCAAAAGTGATTTCTTTTCGTGTTTGTCTACGTTTGTTGGTATCTGAATAGGTTCCGGCGATGCTTGTGTTGTCTTTGGTAGAGAAGCAGAACTGGAAGGGAAGGGTGCTTTAATGGAAAAGCATGAGAGGGTAAGAATGCAAGAGCAAGTGATCGGAGAGACATATGGCCTTACACAATGAAAAATAAAAATCATGTTATGGGATCTGGCGATTAGAACATATACCTTCGCAATGAACAAAGACGCTCCATTCTTTCACGAGAAAACTAGCTCCTAAAAGCGCGGTGGTTGTTACTGCACTTCTTCTTGTCGCTGGACCTAAGACAAGCCATTATTATATAAATGTCACATCCCATATTAATATATCGAACTTTTAGGAAAATTCCCATTAAATCGTCCCGGCAACTCTCTTTCAGAGCAGTCAAATCATCCGCAAGCCTCACCTACCACGAAATATGTTTCCGGCTCTATTTATGGCAAATGGTAGTCGATATGCGGCCCGAGTGAAGGAAATAACTTTGTTGGACATAACATTGTGGACAAGTAGCAATGGACGCTGAAACGGTGACATTAGCGAAAAGCACTCAAAAACTGTAGAATGCACATATGGGAACAAGATCACTAAATAGCCAATCGGAGAATTTCTTTATGAGATGATAGAGAGGTTACACGTGCATATTATTTTAGATTTCGTATAATTAAGCAAGTGATATATCAAATATCAGCTCCTCGTTTATTCTCAATAAAAATTGATTTGAAACAAGTCATAAAATATAATAGTAATGGTTATTCAACTAGCTTTTAATTACGTAGTCACTCGCCAAGCTGGCCACACTACACACAACTTCTTTACAACTTTTTATAACCGATTAACCAGATGCGGAATCAACCGTGTAGGCTTGGAAAGTTTCTTTAGACATGCTTGGTTCTTCGGAATTGATGATCTCGTTGGAAAAAGTAGGTGCACCAATACCTGAACGCGAATGCACGCCATCTGGCGAATATGGCATGAAGATCGTCTTTGTTCCCGGTCCTTTGGCCATTGCCGACATAGTTTCCAAGTAACGAATTTGCTGTGAAAAAAGAAAGTATAAAATTGAGTATGACAACTAATAGAAACAAACTCTGTACGTATAAGGCTAGTAAAAATTATGCATACCATAGCGGCAGGAATGTTGAGTAATTCCGCTGCTTGTCTCATTAACTTTGCTGCGTCAACTGTATGAAAGTAAACGGTTATTGGGAATGTTGATAGAGGCCATGAACAATAACTAACAGTATAGTCTCATATCTCACCTTCAGCCTGAGCAGCGATGACTTTAGATCGTCCAATACGCTGTGCTTGTGCAGCGGAGGAAAGTGATTCTTGGAGTGAATTTGAGAACTGTATGTCTTTGATCAAGATGCTTTCGATCTTGCAAAAATTATGTAGGTTGCATGGACATGTCAGTTAATTCAAAGACATGTCTTGTCATTGGCTAATATAATCGATTGATATGCAGGAGCCCTCATTACCTTCACTCCCCAGAGACTCGCAGGTTCCTCGATAATTTCCAACACTTCAGATGCAATGGCTTCGCGATTTTCAATACAATCTTGTAAAACTCTTGAACCAAGTGTGTGTCTCAAAGTTGTTTGGGTCCTGTAAACGAATAATAATGTCGACATTAACTTTACGCATTCTTCTAATACAAACTTGCACGGTTATCGTTAGATCATATATCTCACAGTTCATCTCTCTTGTACGCACCGTTCAATGAGAGCTTTACGGACGTCAGTAATACCAAATGTGGCTTGATACGGATTAACGATATGCCAATATATTACGGAATCGATGTGAACGTATACATTATCCTTGGTCATTATTGCTTGTTTCGGGATTTCGGTAATTTGTATCTACAGTAAAAGTAAAATCATTAATACGGCACAAGAAACAGATGTGACCCTAAACATTTACAATTCCCTATACATAATAATTTACCTTGACATCGACTCTCCTAAGACTCTCTGATAATGGATTGACTTTAACCAAACCAGGATCAACGGACTTGTAAAATTTGCCGAATCTAGAGACAAGACCCACGAAACCCTGATCGACTCGTTTATATGGATTAGGGCAGCAGCAACAAAATGGTGTCTGTATGTAGATGTGAAGGAAGGGAATGAATTTCATGATAATCACAACACAATATCCTAATTCAAGCATTAGCGTCATACTTACCGCTCCAAAGAATCCACATACATTTCCCAGAACCTATTGATAGCAATTTGTCAGTAGAGCGAATAATTGCGACAATTTGAATGGTTACGCACATTCATCATGGTTCCGTAAAAACCGTGCGCACTATCTTCAAGTGGAAGTTCGTTGGCATACGATTGTTGCATGACTTGTTTATTAAGAGGCTAATTAAGAACATTGGATAAAAGTTAGCCAAAACTCGATGTGCGATAAGCGCTCGGTAACGACTAATATGTCCTATACGACTTCTCAATTTACGTATTTTCCGCATTGTTGAACCCACCTCCATTGATATGATTCCCATAGTTGGCGGGACGCCTTTATTTTTTTTGTCAAGCGAGCCGCTAGACATCTCTGGTTGTGCGTCAAGACTATCCATGATTATTAAATTATATATTCAATCTGCCGTGAGAACTGAAGAAGAATGTTGTCAGAGCGTGGAGTCATCCCACATATTTATATACATATTTTTTTATGTTAATGTATGCAAATCTAATTTGTAACCCCGACCAATTTATTAATCCCAAATTGGTAATTGTACGTGGATCATTTTTTACACATATTTTCCACAAAGAAATGTCTGTTACGGAGCTCTACCACGGATTTGTCGAAAGAAAGACTGTATCACACGCACGGCGGAAGAACAAAAGAGCCAAAGCATTTTCACCCGTCCACCAAAAAAGGTTCTATAGAATGTACTTCTATTGTTTTATTTTTACACATTAAATACCGAAATTTATGCTGTTATATTACCTGCCTTACCAGTTTATCTGTACCATACTGACGGGGTTGCAATACAATTACGAAGTCTTAATGTCATAGGGTCAAATACCACGCATGATGTCATCAGCCGACTGACTTTATCATATCATATCATATTGAACTTTACGTTACGATCAATCGCATCTCAGATCATAATTGCACCATCAAATAAAGTGCCTTGACTTTTGTCTTCTCATGGTAAATTGAGATTTGCGTCTTATCTAAGAAATAAATTCGAGTAATTGCTTTGGGACGGTAGAAAAGGATGAGATGAATGACGCTTCATAGTGTTTATACCGAGCATGGACGAAGAAAAGCAAATGAAAAGGTAATAGTAAATCAACCTGTAAATCTTGTCATTTAATAATAGATCATTTGTTGAAAAAGCGAATTTGTTCTATTGTCACTAACATTATCGGCACAGAGTATGGTCATGATCGCGTTTGTCTGCCCTTTTTGACCTTATGTGTCACCCGTATCACCCGTATCACCCGTATCACCCGATCACTGGCGCCAACGCCGGTTCTTGTGTAATAAGGTCCCTGGAAATGAATGTCGTGACATATTGTCACATGTGGGGATAATAGGTTCTAGAGGTTTGTGCTTAAACAAACAAACAGAATCAATAATACTAAACAACAAAAACTGTTTCCGCAACCTCAGTCATATACTTTTGTTTAGAGTTAAATCGGATTAATATTAAGAGAAAGCTTTACGCCTTGTATACGACCAATGTACGTTCTTGATATCAACGTTATGATATAAACATTAACAGCATAGATTTCGATATTAATATGTAAAGAACATTCTATAAAATGCTCTGGTTTCTGTCTCCTGTCGTGTAAGATATTACCCTTTCTTTCACCAAACTAGTAATGGGCTTCATTAACAGACGTTTCTTCGTGGAAGATATCGCTAATGATATAGTCTGCGCAACAAAGTGAACGTTCAAAACGGTTGGTTATGGCTAACCGCAAATGACGCTTTGCTTTAGTAGCACAGCTTCATGAATTATTTATTTATATGTACACTGTGTAACGCAAAAAACGACGGCGAAACGAATCTTTACAGAGCAGGCACAGCAATTGAGCCTCAAGGTACTTCATTGGCTGTAAAATTTTCGGTACAAAATTCTACACCATTATTAGTAATCAATTTTTTATAGACCCAAAAATTAATTCCGTTTTAATAGGAATTGATCAATTAAAAATGCTGTAATTCCGCAATACATATGTCTTTCAACTTTATCTGCCACAACTTTTGTTATAGAATTAAGATTGGAGCTATTTGCTGGCCTTGATCCTATTTGGCCTTGATCCTATTTGAGCAATAAATTCTTTTGCTACTTAAAATATGTGCTTTGGGTCATTATCCTGCTGTAATAACATAAATAAACCATTTCTTATTTAATAAAGAAGAAAAGGGCCGTCATTTATTTTGAAATCATATTACTTTAGCAACCGCCATTTTCACTACAAAGTGTATGTATATCGAAGTTATTATTATAACACATTAATATCTGATATACGATTATGTCTACGTATTAACATATGAAACTAATTTACATCAAATCCGGGTAACAAAAATTAGCATTTTACATTTTAAGCTAACAACTTCGAGGAGATATTCTTGGCTTCGCCCATTTTGGGCACAAGAAACTCAAATTAAGTTGCGCAATACTTGGTGGCGTCTGTTTTCGGAACAAAAATGTGAATATCTTTGAAGCTGTCCACGGAGTTCCGCCAGAGTAACCCGAGTCTATATTCGATGTCTTGCTTGTTGAAAGTATTTATAGCAGTCGTTTTATAAATCAGCTTACACGAGAGAGAAAAATGCAATATAATTTGTCAATGTTTATTGAGAATAGAACTAATGCGCTTGTTCAAACAATAAAAATGCAAACAAATGATGAATAATTTGGTCGCTCAAGCGGGAAATTAGAAAAGTAACTTTTTCATTTGTCCACTACTCAGTAGAAGCAACATGAAATTCATTCATCTCATCTTCTACCGCTTCAAGCAAGGACAATAACATACATTTTGAGTAATTCAAAATCTCATTACTAAATGATAAAAGAGAGACTTTCGGTTCAAGAGACAGGGCTCTCGATTGATTATAACGTGAAGTTTAGTATGGATGACACAAAGTCGGTCATCTGATGCCAGACGTTGAATAAAACTTAGTAATCGTATTGCAATAGTAGTATGATTCAGGTAATCGTGACAGGCCAGGAAGGTAAATGCATATACATTAATTAATGATTAAATGAACAAGTATTAATTAATAACTTTAAAATGTCAATAGTTTTTGTACAACTTCTCTAATCAGATGATTATCCAGACAATGACATTGTCCGACATCTAATTCTCACGTTACAAAAATAAAAAGGGCATCTGACCCTTAATCAACATGCAATTGAGTACATGTTGTGTGATATTCTAACGTACAATAAGCATGTCAATTTAAAGCCAGGGGTATACGTCGTTTCATCGTTGTGTATGTCTTTTTCTCTCTACGCAACAAGAATAGATAAATGTATATGCCATAGAGCGCGTCGCACGATACTACAGCTTGTTAAATCGCATTGACATGTTATCATTATTATCATAGCCATTATTTATTTTTTTATCGAAAATAACCCGAAGAAAAAATTCTTATTCATAAACATTATCACGTGTTGCCAAGAAAAGTACAAATCGTCACAAGATTTACTTAATCAACTCTCAAAAACTTTGATTTGGGGCGAATAGAATCTTGTGGTTTAATGTAATAGATCAAATAGATCAAACACGGGCCGTATGTGACCGACTGAGATGGATCTTTTGTTGACACGAAAAAACACTTGATGTGGTCATTCAACGTCGATTAAATTCATATACTGTTCGAAAGCAACATCAGTAATTACCCATGGAAATCATTCTGCCAACTATACCGAGATGTATTACTATAGGACATCGTGATAAACATCGCTTGATTGTGTCTTGTTCTAAGATTACTATTCAACGTTACGAGGGTATCGATACGTAGCAATATTATTAGCATTTGCGAACAGTATATTCCGCAATATTTTAATAATGCTCGTTCGCCTGAAATCTAGATTGGGTTTGGTAAGACACAAAGAAGACGTTTAATTCTGCTGTTAAGTCATCATTCTAACAATCAATTGAAATCAACGAAACTTGACTTTTAGAACAAAAGTCGGTAACTAACCATAAGTAACAATAATAAGTACGCATATTAATAAAGTTTGCATGTTAATGCATCAAGACAGGGCGGATATCAAACAGTATATAAGGCTTATGTAAGTTAAGAGTGCATTTCCACTAAAAGTTGGCATACTTCCTATGAAAATGTTCTTTATACGCTGACTTTCGAGTCTTCAGCTCGTATGCGTTTAAATTACACGAGCAATTCTAATTTTAATTCTAAACTATGAGATTTATTTATTAAGATAAGATTCCTGAAAAGCGAAAAATGTGATATTTACCCGGAACTGATACATTTCAGTAATTCAGAGCCAAACTCCCGACTAACAAAGAATGCTCACTGCGAATGACCGATTTCTATTATCCAAAGATAAATTTCATTAAGCTCGACTTGATATACAGTACGAGTTTGCAAATAAGCTGTCGAGAGCACTACTAAATTCAGATTGCATTCCGAGGCTATTTCGGATAAACAAATTCACCTATTTTTGCTTGTTTTGTGCATGAGTTGTAAATCTTCGCACGTACGATGTCAGAAACTAACGAATTGTTTTGTAACCACTAAACTGAACGGTAACTATCACTATTACTATACGAGTTATCAGGACCCACAAAATCTCTTTCCAAACGATCTCTCTCGACGTTAGTCAATACCTATGCTCATCATCAAGTATAAAATTTTGGCCGATCAACACGTGCCGGTCAATTATAACGAGAAACAGTCGATTATTTGTAATTACGATACTAGTTAGTATTAAAATTTACGTCGCGAGCCGTTTTAAGAATAGTAATAGGACGTTCTGCTAAATGATTAACCGTTAATATTATATTTGACCGCAGTCAAACAATAAGCTCTATATTTTCATATGCTTCAATGAACAATCCATTTACTTTCCATCTTGTCAAAAAAAATATAAAATTGGGACATTCTTTTGTTAACAATGCACTAGAAAGATCTTATGTAACTTATTTGTTCACGTCGGCATCCCGAGTTAGGAAGGAGACGAAATTCGTGTTAGGACAGTATTCATATTAGATTATCAAGCCTCGCCGGTTACCAACGTGTGCGACGAATTCAACTTTTGTATATAGGCAGCTCGGCTCTTCTTTCCCCAATGGCTTCTCTAGAGCATAAAATAAACATGAAGTACGATCATGAAAAAGATTTTACCCCAAACCCTCCTGTTGCGTCAGGATTACGACAAGAGCTCTATTACGAGAAGAGAATGTCACCTATAGGGGCAAGAATGCGCCGCGTGTTGTTAACAGCTGTCACAAAAGAAAAGGACCTATTAATGTGGATTCAGGTTTGTTGATGAGAAAGCAGGTCTTGGGACGTATTCAACTGGAGAGAAATATGCTTAAGTGACTAAATGATTTCGTTTCCTCTTTTACAATCGTCCATACTCTAGTCTAAACGCCATCCTTGGCTAGATTTGTACTTTGTCTACTCCTCAAATCTAGGAGCACACACTTTCTTTCTGGTGTGTCTGCCGCTTCTGTTTTGGTTTGGTTATGCGCAATTGGGTCGAGGGTGAGTGGGGGGAGAAATGTGCGAAAAGAAATTTTACAACAAATGAATACACGTAAAGCGAAAACAAACAAACATATATACATACATACATTCGAATTGGGAACAGAGACATGAAAAATTAATGACCATTACTTCTACTCTTGTTAGCCTTACCACGATGTTGGCAGCTGGAGTTTTCTTTTCGGGATTCGTAAAGGTAAGCTAAAAATCGGAGGGCATTCAAAAGTGAAATTACGTTGTTTTTTTTCTTCGTAGACAACTTATATTCCTTCTTCTTTTTCATGCACTTTTACGTATGACTCATCATTTATAGGACGTTCTTTGTCTCCCCCGCCCACCGTCTCCTCCAATTCGCCGATTGACAATGTCGAATTCACATCAGTTTGAATATGGCTTTCCGTCCACGCATTCTGTAAATGCGGTATCGGTCACTGTTTATTTCCTTGCCTTTATACTACCCCTTGCTGACATGGAATACGAAACAAAAATACTCTGGGTTGCTGCATTGTCGATTTACTGCCTTAGCGTGGTTATCGGAAGGGTCTATTGCGGGATGCATAGTTTCACTGGTAGGTTCATTGGTAAAAGAAAATGGGGAAAGACGGAGGAATGGAAAGAGAGCGCTGGCTGTAATATGCGGGGTTGGTAGTAGAGATTGCTCAAGACCAATATTGAAAGGAGAAAATGGATATATAAGATGTCTCATGCGGTCAGGTTTAACAAGTTTGGCACTCATATAATCGTTTGCTTTGAAGATATCATCGGTGGTGTTGCTATGGGAGTGACATTGTCGTGGATCCAGTGGGTTTGGCAGCAAGATCTCGATGACTTTGTCTTGGATGGTAGCTGGATGGGTGAGCCTCATATGTCTCCATTTTTCTTTTGTTTCGTTAAAAGACTTTTTTTTTTGCTAACACATATCGTTCCTTCAGCTCCAATGATTACGAGTTCAGTTATTTTATTTCTAATTTACATATTTCCTGAACCAATCGACAACTGCCCGTGCTTTGACGACGCGTACGTTTTTTATATTTATTCGTAATTTATATATTGCCAATGTTCCTCCTTCCCTAATAAATCTTGTGTATTTATGCAGATTTGCCTTTGCTGGTGTTATGATGGGTTTGACATCTGGTAGCTGGCGATTTGCTAGATCGAAGTTTAGCCATATCGGGTATGGTAGAGGAAATGTTCCATATGAGTATGAGATCGTTGGACCGGTTGTCACGATTATCAGAGTTTTAATTGGTGCGTGTTTATATTCTGAGATGAAAGCAGGGAGAATTAATGGCAAAAATAGCAGTCCTTGCCTATGAATTAACATTCGTTGCTATTTTTAGGCATTGGGATATTATTTCTATGGAGATATGTAATGAAGAAGTTGTGTCATATTATATTACCACCTTTATATCGCGCTCTAAATCTCCCATGTTGTAAGAACAGTCTTCCAGCAAGGTAATCACCGATTTCAGTTTGGGTTTTGGTTCAACGAATATGTTTTTGATAATCTAACATTATTTTAATTTGCGTTTTCTCCTCTGCCGGACGATCTTTTTTAAAAAAAAAAAAAGTAAATGCAAAATACACATGGTCTCATCTGTATTTGATATCCCCCACACAACCAAAGAGTTTGATGTGCATTCAACACAAGATCCATACGAATATTTAGATGGCGAGAAGGAAAAGGAACAGGGACTGAACCGTAGGCAGAATAAAAATGAAAGTAACGGTACAATAGACGGAAATAACCACGTAAAATATTTTGCAGAAAAAAACGGTCTGTTTAATACCGTTGAGCAAACAACATTGAGATACGACGTTGACGTTGTCACCAAGTTGATAGTTTATTCGGGTAAGTTTTGCGTTGGATGGAGAGAGTCATGCGCGCAAGAGGAATGCTAGTTGGTGTGGCATGATGACGAGTCGTCTAGTCAACATTACTGACGGCGAAATGTCTAAATTCAACTTGTAGGTATCGGATACCTTGCTGTCGATACAATTCCAGTCTTGTTTGAAAGTACAGGACTAGGAGTAGGTATCGCGACTGCACTATAATCGTTGTATTATCAACACTTATTTATATGTACTCGCTTTAAAACATTAGAACAAAATAATTTATTCTCGGTATCAAAATATCTTTTGATACTCCCAATTACTAATCATCTGAATTTAGAACTATGAAATCTTAATAGATATGCCGATGCTGGTGAATAATAAAAAAGTTCGTGCAAATAGTTTACTGATGTATGGAGGACTGCTGGGATTGGGCAAAAGGCATTATGATCAATATTCAGATAAGTAGTAAGGGTTTGGAGTTGGTAGTCATGCTGTAAACAAAGCAATCCTATATAATTGCACATTCGCGGATTTTGTAAACGGAGAAACCGGGCACCCTCGGGATTTCATAACCAATTCAGATGGTGAAACTGTATTCGTAAAAAGTCAACGCAAGAAAACGTTGTTAGTATAAAATATAAAAGTCCAAGACTCGTGTAATAGACGCAAGTTATTTCAGCAAGCCATGCATTTTTATATGTCATCGCAGAGGGGAGTGAGGTGGGTTCTCTCCTTGTGAAAGGAGTCCTCACCGATCCCAAAGCTAACTAATGCCATTCATCATAAAACGATAAGAAACGCGAACACAGATCTAATAGAATGTGGACACTCACCTTGGTAGAATAACAGGTATCGGCGGCGAACATAAACAGTCACAACACAAAAAAAAAAGTTCACATGATTCGTGCCACCCAATTAAAATTATCGACGGTTCCCCCACCCAGATCCACATACGTTACATTTTTCATTACTCGTGATGACGATTCGCTCTATTTGATCACTAATCGTGAAGTTGTCACGTTAAATATATCACAGATCTTTCAATAGAAACAATTTTGATT